GGAACTCTTCTAAAAAGTCTAATACTATATAAAAATCAATGGAGGATGAGGAAAAGTGTTCTACAACTTGATAATTTGGGCAAGAAGTTTATCTTAGTACAATATTCATCAACTTTTCTACGTTTTAATTCAAAACTCGATGATGTGCTCAATTATTATTCTTTGTTTTTTTCTTCATCCATTACGAGTAGCTAAACTTTTGTGTTAGTAGGGGCGGAGCCCATTCAGGACCAGTACGGGCATATGCCCGCCCGCACTGAACTTCTGGGCCCAACCAAAATTCCAACCCCCCTTTTTTTGAGCTAGCGCTCACACATTGGTAATTCCCAAAACCAAAAGTGAAAAAGGTATGCCAGCACTGAACTTCTAGGCCCAACCAAAATTCCAACCCCCTTTTTTTAAGCTAGAGCCCACACATTGGTAATGCCCAAAACCAAAAGTGAAAAAGCCCAAATTTCCAATGCCATTCAGGATTCATTAATCCAATACATTTCGTTCCAACCCATTCAATATTCATAATTCATTCTTCCCAAGTTCCACTTCCACTCTTCTCTCTCCGTTGGCCTCGACTTTGTACTTCTCGATCTGCCACTCAGCCGCTTAGGGAAGATTCCACATTTCTGCCGGCCTTCAACGTTCGAGCCCTAGATGCAGTACCTTCAAGCCCTTGAACTTCTCTAGATGCGACAGCCGACAGCAGTCCTTCGAATCTACATTTCCACGATTCAACAGCAGAAGAAGAAGGTGAAGCCCCTTAACTCTGATTCCTAAACCGCACTCAAGTTCTTCTTAACTTTTCTTCTGTTAATTACTTATTTTGCTTTGTGTTTTGTGTACTGTTGTGATTTTTTCTTTTGAACATATGAAATTACTTTTGAATTGCTTGAAGTCTTGAATTGTTGTTAAATTACTTTTGAATTGCTCTTTAAATTAGACTTAGAAGCCCCAGGCTTGTGAAGTCCTCGAGCCTAATTCGATGAATACTGAAGCCTGCTCAAGTCTCTATGTACTCTGTGAGTTTGCTTACTCTATCTCTGTGATTGAAGCCTACTTCCATTCCATATTGCTAAATGCTAATGCTGCCTCTCTATGACTATGAAAGCATTTTATAATTCTGTGACTGTGAAATGCTAATTGCTTACTCTGTGAATTGATTCCAGACTTTCTAGTAATTATTGCTATTTGAATTGCACTGTGAATTGAAAACATTTTTAAATCTTAATAGCTATAATGTTTAAATACAGAGATGAAATGAAAAGATTCTTTCAAAGAAAATGAATACGATTTCTATTGATTGAATTTCCTATTATGGATGGCAGGAGGGCCGGGTGGCTTTGAAGGTCATTTTTAGTATTGTTTTATATTTTTATCATCATTACATCTATGACTAAAAACTCAATGTTCGGCATGGACAAAATTGTGCCCGCACTGAACGCCAATCCTTGCTCCGCCCCTGTGTGTTAGGACAAACAATGTAATTTATTGAGACTCTTTAATTCAATTTTCAAGATCTTAGTTCTCAAATTCACGTGTTGATTTTATTTATAGTGTTTTATGCATGAATTACTTGGCCAATAGTTCATTGATCTTGTACATATATTACGAGTCGAGAAACGAGTTTTAGGTTTAGACCACGCTATAAATTTTGGGAACTAGTATAAAAGTGTAGAGATGTCTTTTCTAGTTAATGCGGTCGTTATATAAATTTCTAGAGATTTAAGGTGTTTAACTAAGGTATATCTAGATTCACATAAAAATATGAAATTGATTTAGTTTAATAAAATTAATTTGAACTCGAGAGAGGTAAATTAAATACATTAGAAGAATTCGACTGACCATTACATTATGTTATGAGTCTTGATTAGAGGATTAAAGGTGATTGGTAAATAAAATTGTGTACCCTAATATATCCTTCAAATTTAAAAACTTGATTCAATTTTCTTGTGCATCCAATAACAATCAAGTTAGTATAATTAGATCAACAATTTCAAATTATAAATTGTTTTCTTCAAATAGAAGTAAAAATTATAAACTATTAAGATATAATAGTCCTTGTGGGAACGACTATTCGAACTCAAATATTTACTATATTACTTTTTCGATATTGTAAACTTGCGATAAGAAAAATGTAACAGAGAGAATTGTGTAGTAGATTTAGAGATGTGAGGGTCCTTGGACTAAATGCTCCTATTTGCCCAACATGATGGTTGCGTTTTGCAGAGATAAGTTCCTTCGATATCTAAGTTCTTTTGAAATTCACGTGTGACTGATGGTTTTATCGTATTGTCTAGGCTTTGTTCAACGACCACCTCACTATCAATTTTGCCCTGCGGGACCTTTCGTTGCGACCATGGTTATTTGAACTCTCTCTTTCATGATACGGTGGTCGACCAAGCCATATCATTAGCCCCATGATCACAGATGAATCACATTCTTTGTTAAGCACTTTTTCTCAGCACAGACGGTCTAGCATTATCGCAGTACATTATCCATGCAACACTACCACATCATCCGTTGTGTGGGCAAGTCAACTGGTTTTGCAACTTCATGAATATCCATGATTTTGACATCTTGTCTTCTACTTGCAGTTCTTAGCCTAGGTCAATAATCACATTGGTCTAGGTTGCCATGTTGATAATTTGCATTAGCTCAGGATTTGAGCGAGAAGGATGAAGAGTCTTCTCAAATTTCGGATGAAGAATTTCTAGTAATTTGATTTATTTCCGTTTTGCATTTAGATACTTGCTCTATCCTATAAGATTGTGAATTTAAAAGGAGTCAACATAATTTCTTGTGTGATGGACAAAGTGCAATTTGTGCAAATTTAGTGACCATTTGAAATTCATAGTACAGTGAATAAAGCATGGTAATGAACAAAATTTTAATGTGTAATGAAATAATTAACTTTTTTAGACATGACAATCACGATTTCTTATTTAGCTATTTTAACTCTTTCAATGTACCACATCAAATTATGTCTATTCACATAGACTTTCCATAAAACGATAACTTTGTGGGTGATGAATGGAATGCAATTAAAAGGTTCAACGATCATTTGATAGCAATTCAAAATCGTGCGACTAAAGCGATGAACAAAATTCAAATTGTAGTAAAATAATGATTTCTCCCCTTATCACTCCAACAACCACACCCTCAAACTCAAAACCACTACTATCCCAAGACTCCCACCTGCAAAAACTACCAGTCATTACCACCTCCTCAAAGATCTTTCGAACCGTTTATGTGATTAACAAAAGAAATAAGGGAAATTTCACAACACACAGTACATCACATGAACACCTTGTATAAACATCAAAAATTCACTGTCGAATTCATTCCTGATTTAATCATTTGATAATTGAAATACACAATACAATTCGAGTACATTTTCTATTAATCTACTCCACTCTTTATTCATTTCATCTAATTTCGAATTCGCTTCACAGAAAATCAGACAGAGTAAAAAGTGTTTTTTCCTTCATTTTTTCCTTTAGATTTAGCCATGGATGCAATTGCACAGAATCATTCTACACCTGAAATCACCATTTTTGGCAAATTTACTTGCCGACGACCAACCAATCAATATAAGAATTTGTTGGAGTTATAGAAAGGAAGTAGCAGAATATGAAAATTTGTTTAAGTAATGGATCTGCAGAATTGAGAGAATTTACTCATTGTATTCATTCACTTGTATTTTCACTATACAATTCGGCCAGTATTATAGCAAGGAAGCAAAAGAATATTCTCTAAATTAGTTACAATCAACTGTAAGGTATAATAAAAAAGAAGAAGGAAGTATATACAAAGGGATGCCAGATAACCAACTGGATTCTCAGCTTTTTTCATTTATCTTCGAGAAACTTCAGTGCTAGTGCTTTCAATGTGCCATTCCAGCTCATCATCCATGTCAACCAATGATGCTTACTGGACTTGCTGACTTGTATTTTCTGATAACCCCCCGCAAGATGGAGAGTAGATGTCTTCTACTCCCATCTTGAGTAGATGAGAATAAAGACTTGTACAAGACAATGCCTTGGTTAAGAGATCTGCAACTTGTTTATCGTTACTGATATGTTCTGTGACTATGCTCCCAACCTGGATCTTGTCTCGAATGAGATGGTAATCAAGCTCAATGTGCTTGGTCCTCTCATGAAAAATAGGATTTGAAGAAATGTAAAGTGCTGCTTTATTATCACAGAACATGGTTTTTACTTGTGGATGTTTGATTCGTAAGTCATGGAGAAGATATCTTAGTAAAGTCAATTCGCAACACAGATTCGCCATTACCCAGTACTCTACCTCTGTAGATGATCTAGACACAACTCTTTGCTTCTTAGACTTCCAAGATACCAAAGAAGATCTTATGAAAACGCAATACCCACTGACCAATCTCCTTGTATCCTGGCAAGCTCCCCAATCTGAGTCACAATAACCCACTAATTGCAAAGTTGATTGTGATGAGTATAACAAACCTTGCCTTGGTACGCATTTTATGTATCTTAAATTTTATGAGCTGCATTAAGATGGGGCAATCTTGGACTATCCATAAATTGACTTAGCAATTGCATTGAGTATGCTAAGTCAAGTCTTGTAATAGTCAAATACAACAATCTCCCAATCAGCCATCTGTAGATTGATGGTTCAGGGATAAGTTCTCCCTGATCTTTAGAGAGTTTCATGTTTTGGTCCAGAGGAATACAAGCCGGTGCTGTACCAATTTTGCCCGTGTCCATAAGGATGCCCAAAGCATATTTCCTTTGGCATATGTGTATGCCCCTATCGATCTTACTATCTCAATGCCAAGGAAATATTTCAGCTGCCACAGATCTTTAATTCTAAATTTGTCATGTAGAGAAGTTTTGAGGGCATTGATAGAGTCCAAACAACTATCTGCCACAATGATATCATCAACATATACTAAGATGACAGTGAAAGAATTTTCTGTGGCTTTTGTGAATAAACTATAGTCTGCCTTGGATTGTGTGTATCCTTGTTCAATGATGAAGTTAGACAACTTAAGAATACCATTGCCTGGATGCTTGCTTAAGACCATATAGGCTTTTCTTCAATTTACAAACCTTTGATCCATTAGCATTGGGACATCTGAAGGGAGCTGCATATAAACTTCTTCTTCTAAATCACCATGCAAGAAGGCATTGTTTACATGAAATTGGTATAGATGCCATCCTTTAATGGTTGCAAAAGCTAACAAAGTTCTAACAATAACCAGTTTTGCCACAGGAGAAAATGTTTCATGGTAATCAAGTTCTTCTTGTTGTGTATAGCCCTTAGCAACTAGCCTGGCTTTGTATCTTTCTATGGTTCCATTTACATTAAACTTTATTTTATACACCAATTTATAGCCTCTAGCTTCTTTACCAAAAGGTAAATAAGTGATAATCAAATTGTCATTAAGTTCAAGAGCATCTATTTCAGCTTTCATGGCTCTACACCACTTGGGTGATTCTAAGGTTTCTTTAAAATTTCTTAGTTCTGTGTGCGTGTTAATAGAGGGTACACAATCTTTGTGAGAAGTCGACAATTTATGATAGGACAAAGTAGCTTCTAAAGGAAAAGGCTTACCTGGTAAAATGTTGTCCTTTCTCTTTTCCAAGTTTTGTGATTGGGGAAGTGCAGTAGCTTGTTAGTAGACAAAGTCTTGTAAATGTGCAAGAGCTCTTTGAATCCTGCTTGATCTTCGAATAGGGGGTCATCCAAGGATTGGTTTTGACAAGACTCAATATTGTCTTGCGAGGGATAAGATAGACCAGAATTTGATAGATTAGAATTTGATTCAGGCAAGGATGCCGAAGTGTGAGCAATATCTGTGGAAGGAAAACTTGTTGGCTCGATTTAATCCAAATCCCTATAGGATTTATGGAAATCAGATTTGAATTATTAACTTGCTCAAATTCAGGAATATTTCTTGTTGATTGATGATGATCTAAAATGATGATGGGAGTTTGAAAGATAGAGTTTTGAATTGGATAATTATCTGTTCTTACTTTAAAAAGAAAAACATTTTCATGAAAGATCAAATTTCTCGTTATGAAAACTTTTCTCGTCTCTAATTCCATCAATTCGTAACCCTTGATTCCAAAAGAATATCCCAAAAATATACATTTTCTGGCTCTTGAATCAAACTTGTGTCTCCCATTCATTAAAGTGGTGGTAAATGAAAGACACCCAAAGACCTTTAGATAACTATAATTTGGTTTGGAAGAGCATTTCAAAAGGAGTTTTGTGATCCAAGAGGGGGATGGGAGTTCTGTTTATGAGATATGCAACTGTGAGGACACAATCAGTCCAAAATTTTAAAGGCAGTCCACTCTAAAATCTCGAGGCTCTCGCCACACTTAGTATATGCTGGTGTTTTCTCTCGACGATAGCATTTTGTTGTGGCGTTTCCACACATGTTCTTTGATGAATGATTCTGTTTCAAATTAAGTTTCAATCATAGAACAAAAACCTCGTAAAATAGTACCAGCATCAGATTTCAATTTTAAAACATACACCCAAGTACATCTACTGAAATCATCCACTATAGTTAAGAAGTATCGAAAACCATCATAACTAATCTCGTTACATTGTCCCCATAAGTCACAGTGCAGGAGATCAAAACGTTTCTCAGATTTATATGTACTAGGAAAAAATGGTAGTTTTTGCTGCTTGGCTAGAGGGCAGATCAAACATGGATTTTTTGTAACTTTTGGAATGTGGTTTGGCTATTCTAACTTGAAGTAACTAGAGTTTCCTAACCTATAGTGCCAAAGATCAAAGTCTTCAGCATTATTAGAGATAGTGGAAGCAAACATAAGCAATTTTTGAGCTAACTTTTCTACTAAAGCATGTGGGAAAACTTCTTGTCATAGTAGGTGATACAAGTCTTGCCTTACTTCATCCATTCCAGTCATTATCCAAGTTGAAAGGTCCTATACGAAGCATAAATCAAAGAGGAAAATGAGACAAGAGTTCATGCTTTGTGCGATTTTCCTAGCTGATATAAGATTGAAAGAAAATGTAGGTACACAAAACACATTGTCAAGGATTAAAGATTTCGAAAATTCAACTGTTCTAATATGGGTGATTGGAACCACTTCACCATTAGGGAAAGCAACTGAGTATGAGGTCTCAGCTTTGATTTTGGAAAAATATGATGTAGAACAAATCATGTGGTCCGTTGCCCCTGTATCTAAGATCTAAGGGGCATCAAGCATGTTAGGTAGTTTATTGCTATGAGCAGAAAAGCACAGAGATGTACCAGAAACTTTTGGCATCCCACCGTCATTGGGATGAGATGGAATGATGGAGTGAGCTTGATTTGCTAATGGTGTGTAAGTCTGAGAGTTTTGTGATTTTAGCAAAGACATAAGCTGAATATATTGCTCTTGGGTTAAGGACATTTGAGCTTTATCACTTACTTGCTCTTGGCCAGTACATAATAGTTCAGTGGTTGGTTGGCAAGAGATGTTGTGGGCTTACTTCGATTTTCTGAACTGTGGCCTGGTGGATACCCATGTAACATTTATCTATGGAATGGCCTGGCATTTGACAATAAGCACACGTTAGTTTATTTGGATTGGCCTTGAAGTACCTTTCAAGGGAATGACTGGCCATCTTGCAATGAGTACAGTCATACTTGTCCTTCCTTTGTCCAGATGAGTTCCTCCCCCTATCTCTAAAGTACCCTTTCACCAGAAGTGCCATAGATTCAGTCACAGTACCATCAAAAGAAATCTGCCTTTTCTTTTCTTCTTGTTTCACAATAGCATATACTTCATTTAAACTAGGAAAGGGTTTAATCAATAGAATTTGTGCCTTAAGTGCCTTTTAGGAGTCATTCAACCCCATCAAGAACTTCATGACCCAGTCCCTTTGCTGGTTACTGATCACAATCTTTAAACCACGGCAAGAACAATTAGGTACAAACTCATAATTCATTGATTCATCCAAAAGAGTTTTGAGCTGGGAGAAATAAACATTTACAGCATCTTGATTTTGAACTATAGCAGTTATATCTTACTTGATTTTGTATATTATTGGGGCATTATGTTGTGCAAAACGTTGTTCTAACTCTATTCATAAGTGATTGGCTGTTTCTGCATATACAGTACTGCACTTAATGTCCAATGACATAGTGTTTTGAAGCCAGGTGATTACATTGTCATTACACCATAAACAATGTTCTACGAGAGGATCATTTGGATCAGTTGGCTCACAAATGCTCCCATCAATGAAACCCAACTTGTTTTTTATCCTAAGTGCTCTCTTCATCGACCTTGCCCAATGATAGTAGTTGTTTGCATCAAGCTAATGAGTCACCAGTATGGCACCATTGACATCACTACTGCTAATATAGTAGGGATTGCTTGGTGATATAGGGTCATGAGGTGTTGCTTCTCTTTCACCAGAGGAGCTGGAGTCAGTTTGGGATTTTGAGGAGGATTTTCAGTAGCATTTGGACTTGTGGAGTCGGTTTCTGCCATCAAGTTGGCTCTGATACCATATAAGAATTTGCTAGAGTTATAGAAATGAAGTTGTAGAATATGAAAATTTGTTTAAGTAATGGATCTGCAGAATTGAGAGAATTTTCTCATTGTATTCATTCACTTGTATTTTCACTAGACAATTCAGCCAGTATTCATAGCAAGGAAGCAAAATAATATTCTCTAAATTAGTTACAACCAACTGTAAAGAATAATAAAAAAGAAAAAGGAAGTATATACAAAGGGATGTCAGATAACCAACTGGATTCTCGGCTTTTTTCATTTATCTTCCAGAAACTTCAGTGCTGGTGCTTTCAATGTGTCATTCCAGCTCATCATCCATGTCAACCAGTGGTGCTTACTGGACTTGCTGACTTGTATTTTCTGATAATCGACGATCATCTCAAAGAATCCTTAAATATGCATTTCGAAATGTTGTTACAATGGCCATTGCCAAAGAGCGAAGACCACATCAGATTCTAAGCTTACTAAACTCCACTATCCTTCAAAGTCGGTAATGGAGAAATGGTGTCATATAAGCTAGTAAAAAATCCTTCGACGATAAGTCCCTTCGAAAAGTAATTTGTCATTTATTCTCATAATTCACATTGGGGGATTTGACAAAAAGATCATATATAAGTGGTTGTTTAAATATAAGATATTTTTTTTATTTCAAAGAGTGAACCCTTAAAATTATACAATTCTTCAAATTAATATTTTTATTAAATGAATTTAAAGTATTTCAAATTTTAATAAAAAAATAATAATATAATAATTTGGAGGAAAAACAATAAAAATAATAATTTTTCTGAGAAGTAGGAAATTTAAGCATTAAAAATAAAGAATCCGCTGAAGTATTTCTAAATTTTTACTCTGTAAATTATAAAATATGTTCTTTAAAAATAGGGAGTATAATTGATGGTTGCTAATGGATAGGAGGGTGACGGCTGTTCGTGTGGTCCTTTGGGAAAAAAGACCTATTTTTTTTTTTTTACAAGATTGGGGACTTCTTTTACAATTTTCCCTCTATTTGTTTATATATTTATTTATTTTATTTAGGTGGTTCTCTCTACATTTTTTTTTAAGTGAGGGGGAATTTAGTCGCGAATTTAATGGCAAAAATTTTCCCTCAAAATAATTAAAATGAGTTTTTTTTTTAAAGAAATTTGAAATAGTGAATTTTCGTAGAATGTATGGTTAAAAAATAAGAAAAAATTTTGAATTTACGTATATAATATTTTAATGTGAACATGTGTAATTGAAAATGAGTTCAAAAAATAAAGAATTTTATTTTAATGATTGTTAAACATGTACTTACAATTAAGCCTCCGTTTGACAAGCATTATTTTGAAAAAATGAAGTTTTGAATAATGTTTTTCAGGAAAATGTGTAATTAAAAATTAGAAAAATACTTTGAGTTTACATGCAAAATATTTTACTTTATGAATATGTAATTGAAAATGAGTACGTAAAAAAATGAGTTCAAATAAAGATTTTCAATCAGGGGCTAAGTCAAAGGTTGGAATGTCTGATGATAAAAAGATTGAGGATAGATTAATAATATATTGTATAAGTTGGGGATGAAAGTGCTAATTTCCCATAAAATTCTTGGGTTCTGGATAATCTCTCTGTCTTAATCAGAATACCAGGAAAAGTCCACTCTTTTGGTTAATGGATTAACGTTTTATTTGTTAAATATTTGGTTGGTGGGTTCTCGCTTTCTTTGTTACACTCAGCCATTACTGTCATTGATAGCAACCCTTTCAATCAGAACTTCTACTGCTGCGATTGTTTTGAAAGGAAGAGCTGGCCAGTCAAATCTGAGTGTAAAAGAAATTGGATTTAGGAGGGAGAGGAATCTGGTGTTTTCCGTACTTCAGGCTGCCTAGTTAAAGAATCAATTAGCCCGGGATTGTAGAATTTAATCGGAGAAGATATGGCCTATGCCGCCGTAGTTTTGCTGATGCGGGATCTAGAAGAACTCTTACATTCCCAGGCACATCCCATTCCCATTGGTCTAAAGAAAGAACACATTGAATCTCTTCACAAGGAAGTTAGCTTATTGCAAGTATCCCTCAAGGATTCACAAGAGAAAATGTATGATCATGATGTGAAAAGTTTGGAGAAACGGATAGGTGATGCGGCTTACCGTGCTGCAGATTTCATTGATTCTCACGTGTACATCAGCTATATCCGGAATGCTGATATTCCGGAAAGAAAGATCGAGTATAGTCGGATTTCCTTGATCGCCCACCAAAACTTTTCTCAGATAATTAAAGAGATCGAGTTGATCAAGTTAGAGGCCTTGAAACTTTTTGATAAACAGATCTGTGATACAGAAGTTCTGCCTCATGGAAATTCTTCAGTTCAAGACTCGTCACCAAGTTCTCTAAATGCAGAGGACAGGCTTGTGGGCATTGATAATGACATCAAAGCACTGCTTCATCGACTTACAGGATTTCCATCCCATCGCAAAGTTATTCCAATCACCGGCATGGGTGGCATAGGTAAGACGACTCTTGCTGGAAGAATTTACAATGATCCGATTATCATTCATCACTTTTATGTTCGTGCATGGATCACTGTGTCTCAAGGATATAATCTATCTCTATCATATCGAATGAGAGAAATGTTGTTGGGAATTTTAAGATGTTTCACCAATATCACAGATGAAATTTGCAAAAAGACTAATGAAGAATTAGGTGAAAAACTGTACAAAACGTTGAAAGGTATGAGATATCTGATTGTGTTGGATGATTTGTGGGATGTCAAGGCCTGGGATTTCCTTAAACAATTTTTACCAGATGATGTGATTGGAAGCCGAATACTATTGACTAGTCGGCACACTGAGGTAGCTGTTTATATCAGTTCTAAGAGTTCTGCTCATCGCATGCATTTCCTGAGAGATGCTGAAAGTTGGGAGCTTTTGGAGAGTAAGTTGTTTGCTAAAGAAAGCTGCCCTCCTGAATTGGTCGAAATGGGCAAGCGAATTGCAGAAAGATGTCAAGGGCTACCACTAGCTATTGTTGTAGTTGCAGGGCTCCTGAGCAATGTGAGCAGAACACTGGACTGCTGGAAGAGAATTGCAGAGACTGTACTATCTCTTGTTGCTGAAAAACCACAGCACTGCACGGATATTCTTGCATTAAGTTACAATTACTTGCCTAATCCTTTGAAACCATGCTTCCTTTATATGGGAGCTTTCCCGCTAGACTATGAAATCCCAGTATCAAGACTCATATGGCTGTGGATAGCCGAAGGGTTTATTCAGCCAGTAGGAGGGAAACGTCTGGAAGAGGTAGCAGAGGATTACTTGGAGGATCTAGTAGGCAGAAATCTGATTTTAGTTGGAAAAAGAAGGTCTAACGGTAGAATAAAAACTTGCCACATTCATGATCTTCTGCGCGACGTATGCTTGAGAGAATCCATGAACCAAAACTTTTTACAGGTAATAAAGCGTTATGCTCCAATCCCTCAAATGGAATCAATTTATCCTCGGCGTATTAGTCTCCATGCGAGTATCCTCCACTATTACTACTCAATGGGTTCACAGCCACTCACTCGTTCTTTTTTGTGCTTTGATGTCAACAAAATTCTGCCAGACATATTTCTGCTGGAATTCTTGGTTCAAGTAGACTTCAAATTGCTCGTGGTATTGGATATTATGCTTCTGCGTTCTAATCATTTTCCCATTGAAGTAGTTGATTTGGTTCATTTGAGGTATTTGGCACTCTCCACAAATTCTGAGCTTCCTGGATCAATATCCAAACTTCAGAACCTACAAACTTTGATTATTGATCACATTTGGGAGGGCCAGTACCTGCCAAGAGAAATATGGAGCATGTCACAGCTGAGGCATATCCACTTGAAAAGGGGATGCTATTTTCCACTCCCTTATAGCTGGGGAATTGAGAGCAGCTTAACAAACCTGCAAACACTATCTACATTAATAGGACCTGTCAGTTGTTCTAAGGAAGTTTATGCCCGGATGCCACGGCTAAGGAAATTGGAAATTTATGCTACTGAAACTGACTTTGGTACCGAGTGGATCTCGGAGTGCTTAAGGAATCTTGTCTGTTTAAATGATCTTGAAACATTGAAATGTAATTTTCTCTACCGACCGAGAATGCATCGGCTTCCAGAGCAGAATGTATTCCCTTCAAACCTGAAGAAGTTTACCTTAAGTGGGAGCTATTTGCCATGGGAAGATATGAAAATTCTTGGCATGTTACCCAACCTTGAGGTGCTTAAACTCAGATCCTTTGCATTTGACGGAGATAAGTGGTCACCGGTTGAAGGAGGGTTTCTCCGACTAAAGCTCTTGGTAATAGAGAATTCAGATCCTGACAACTGGGATGCAGATGAATCCCATTTTCCACGACTTCAGCGCCTCGTCCTAAAGGAATGTACCCGCCTCAGAGAAATTCCTGAAGGTATTGGGGAAATTCGGACAATGCAACTGATTGAAATACATGACTGTAGCTTTAGTGTTGTAATGTCTGCAAGGAAAATACAGGAACAACAAGAGGTGATGGGAAATGATGAGTTGAGTGTCCAGATAAGCTGGGGAGGTTATCATTCACAGAGTGATCTCCCTATTGATTATCGTCATTCACATGGCTGGTAAACCATTTTCTTGATTTACAATGAGGAAATTCTTGTAATATCCAGCTTCAGTTTGTACTCTGACCAATGCAGGATGACTAATGAAGGCATAGAAGTTGGACACTGGCCAGTTTTTTTTCTTTAAAGAAAGAAATGAAGCTAGCTGAAGCCTGAGAGGACAGATTAGACTATTGTAATGTAGGTAGTACCTCCAATTTTACACTTTTTTGCTGTATTATTCTTCTCCTTACTGTATATATAAAAATAAAAAAATTGCATTTCAACATTTCATTTTCATTTGTGTAGTTACAAGGGCTAAATATGCTTACGACATGTTTCGTAAGCTAGACCACATGTGCAATTTGAATGTAGATAATCAAGTATTAATTCTTGAAAATTCAGAGGTCAAGGTAAAGGGTGATGAAATCAAGATAACAACTCAGATCATCTCCAAGAGGCTCGAGAGAGCAAAAACCACTCTCTATTATTTAATGTCCAATTATTGCATTTAATACATTACAAATTCAATATTATACAATTAAATTATTCAAATTACATTTAAATTGATGAGTTATTAACATATAAAAAAAATTATGTTAATTAAGATATAAGAAGAAATTATCAAATGTACATTGAAAAAAATAAAATAAAGAGTCAAAATAAGGAGTTTGTTCGAGTGGTTAAAAAAATTACTCTCTAAATTTAAAAATGTTCTATATTATACATAAGATGCTCTTTATAAATAAAGAGTGTTTTGAGGATACTCATAGTATGAACATTACAATAATTGGTAATAATGGATTATGGAATTTTTATACAATGAATATCAAAGCATAGAGAATCCATTTATGATGATCATGTAACAAATATTTCTTCCCCATTTAACAATACATTACTTAAAAATGTGTTTTTTCTAGGATGTCTTACATATAAATCTTCAGAGAATTAATTATTATTGTGCTACATTGCCTACAAATTTTTTCTACCTACAGATGATTGTGACGAAGTATGATTGAATTAAAATTTCACAACCAACTAAAAAAAATAAAATCCCCTCCTCCTACCTGCTTCCCCGCTTTTTTTCTTTTTGCCATCTCACTAATCTGTGAAAGAATCTGTAAATGATTAAGTACGACAATAATTTTTCAATTAATGATTACATTAACTTTCAGAACAGCAAGACCGATCAGCTGAAATTTGCAAAGTCGAATGTTGTGCTTAGTATGTTATGGGCATTTAACAATTCGTCAATTAGTCATGCTTGAACCGGTAGATATAAGAAAACACGCATACGGGGAAACGTTAACATATTCATAGCCTCCACGTAAAATTCATCTCCGACGACAGGTTAAAAAAAAAAAAAAAAAAAAAAAAAACCCCTCTCAAGCAACAGATCCCAACAGAATGTTTAAGACTACGAATTACGCCCAAGACAAGGAAGCTGAAAAGTAGAATGTCCTAAAGTCGGTTAGGAGCACTCAGATGTACAGCTTCTTCCCAGACAATGAGGTCAAGAACATCATTCAAATGCTTCAGTTTTCTTCGAGACAGCAATTACATTGAAGTTAACTGATTCAGGATTTTTCAGAATCATCTGTTGAATAACTTTGGCTGCATCCTGTAAGAAAATAGTAGACATCCAATTGTCAAAATAGTCACTAAGAAAATTAATATTACAGGGAAGAACAGCAAACAAATGGGAAACACTCCCGAATGAGTAGCCTCGAGGTTCAATGTTGTAAATGCTGTTACAATATACTTCTGCCAATTTTTGTCTTTTTCATGTTGATTATTAAATTTTAGGCCAACTTGGTCACTCCATCCATAACTGTAATGTGGCAGTCTGTTTGCCAACTTGACAGCACGTAAGCTTTTGCAAGACAATAATGCTGAACTGCCAGAAGAAAACCGCCAGAAGGGGTGAGGGTCGTGGGTCCTGCTTGAATATAAAAATGCCGACCTCCCCATTTTTGTGTTGTCCGGTCATCCCTTCTGTTAGGGCTTCTGGTGCTGTAGCACGTTCCTTTGCAAGAGTCACAAAATGGTCATGATCCAATTGTAAAAATGTTTTAAGTGATCCAATTGGAAGAAAGTTTATAAGTATAGAAACCTACTTGGAACAAAATAAATTTTAGCGACCAACATGACATTTTGCTAAAAATTCAGTGACGCTTGTTGACCCGTCCCTTCTTAGTACAAACAAAATAATTGTCAACTGTAAGTCTGGGAAAACTAGTGCGAGACAACCAAAGGAAGCTTGTTTACAGGTAAAAAAAAATTTTCCTAAACCCAGCAAAGTAGCAGGTTTCAAGTGCCCGAGAACACGTCCAGACACAATCACAAATGTCCACTGTCAAATCATTTGAATTCGTTTAATGCTTAAGATTCCATGACATCAGTGTTACTGATTTTGCCTGCATATTTTGATGAATCATTTTTGTTGCACTACTGAATGTTCTTTTCCTAGCCATTTTTCTTTAATAACCAGATTTAAAAGAATATGACCCAAAAGAATTTGTTGGGAGGGGGGGGGGGGGGGGGGAAAGCTCTTCAAATATTTTAGTTCACAGGTTAATTTCACAAACGGATCCACTCCCATCTAACCCTCACAGATGAAGAAAATTACCAGTAATAAGGTGCTTGGAGAGCATGCGCCGTGTGAAATTGGCCCTGCCTTCCTTCCATCAAGCTCATATAGTTGTCCTGTAAATAACAAGTTTATGATATATATATTTATCTTGATGGTAAATTTGCTCTAAATAAAGAACTAAACAATTGATGTAAAGGTGGATTCAATTCTGCTAAACAGAAGTAGATGAGCATAGGCAAGCATCAGATTCACTTGGAAAAAAAACAAGATCAAAGTTGCACTTTTATTAAGTCTTCCACCCATGTCTATGCTAGAATGTATTAAACCTGATAATGCATTTAATTTTAAATCAGCAGCAGAGACACAGGAGGATGTGGGCAGCGATTGCCCCCCTTGATATAATTTTCTGATTGTATGGGATATATCTGGACTGGGAGTCTACACTCAAGTTTGCATTATCAATTTTCTATTATAAATAACTCATGAAACTTAATTGTTCAACGTTAATTCAACCAGCTAGAAAATATTTGTTTCTCGTTGACACAGGATATCTTCCTGTGTCTCTCTCAAACACACACACACACACACATGTCTTGGTGTAGCAAATTTACTAAATTCCAAAGTTTACTGCTCCAAGATTGAAACAAGAACGTCTTTGTCAAAAGATCTCTCTTCCTCAATCCTGTATGTACACGTGCACCCTATTATCTCCTGTGATTCTTTATACATTGCTGAGCGTGCATTAGTCTTGGAATATGACACGGAAATAATATAGCTAACCAAATGGCAACTAAAAGATATAGCATTTGATTGAAATAGATGAAATTATACTGGAAATTTCATCTTGAAGCACATTATTTGATTAATCGTTCCATGCCTAGACATATTCAAGATACTACTGCCATCAAATCATGGTTCTTGCATTGGAGCACCTGCATGTTAAACTTGTATTCACTTTGTCTTCTCTTCCAACTTTTACTAAGATCATTAGATTGACAGTGCGGACAAATCAGATCATCCCGACTCCCAACTCCTTCCTCCCCACCACGGTTGATATCCTGACTCCAGTACTCTTGTAAACAAACATGCAACAAGTAGACAAAAGGACAGTTTCCTCCCTTGTTGCTTTTTCATCCCACGTGTAAGTAATCTCAAGCACACGTCAGTATCCGAATTAATATCTTTTTGAACAGTCAAGAATAAACACAGTTGAACAGTCAAGAATAAACACAGTATCAAAATGAAGCTCAAGAAAAACTTCCAAAAACCAAAAAAAATGAATTAACACAAGATAGGATCGTAAAAATCATTACTAATCTGAAAGCCTCAAAGTACAGCAGAAAATTGAATACACGATAAATTGAACGGGTAAGGTACAAAACTTCCATAATATCAATGTAACACATAAGAGAATGCGCAGATGAATGTAGTCATACTAAAATATATAAAACTAGAAATGAGACCATAAACCATCAAACGGAGATGGGGGCAATCGAGGATAAAATAAGGGAATATGTCTTAAATGATTGAGAAGAGATTAAGAAGGTCACATTAGCAAAGAGTTCTAAAATACAGTACAGAACTAGAGAAGAGGACAACGTAGCAAAATTAAAATAGATAGAGATTGTCCAAAATATTTAATCCTTTCACAGGTGATAAATGGAATGACAAAAAATGAATCCTGCAGTAGTTGTCCTCAATTCTATGAGAATAAAACTTACCTTCTTGTTACTGTTGTCGAATACAAAAAACACGTTCAAGCTCAAAAACCTATTAGGAAAGCACTAATCTTGCACAATTTCTCTCATGCAACATGATGCCATTATCAGATAAACTAGATCCCAAATGCTCATCTATAGATCACCATTTTCCTCATACAATAGTTATTACTTCACATTAACAAATGGAGTAACTACTCCTATTTGAAATTCCCTATAATTATATATCACAATCACTGCACTTGCAAGGGGAGAGGAGAAGAGAGAGCAACAGACTTACCATCTACACATGTGAAGCAGATGAAGTGTGCGTCTACATTATCTGAAGCCTGTAAAGAGAAACAGATGAGATCACAAATTTCCCACCACTCATGGGAAAAAAAATAATAACTTGATAAACTAAATTGATTGAATAACAAGATCATGACCAAATTTTTTATACCACTCAAATTGACAATAAGAAAATTCATAAAGATGGCCAAAATTTTGAAAACAGGTTTACTATACTTCATTCATCAAATCGCTCCTTGAGCTGTACTGAAACATTAAGGAACCACTTACCATGATTGATTATTATATGCTACTATCAGTTCTAGGTGGAATGATGAACACAAGAACCCAGATAAAAGAAGAAGAAGAAAAAACAAATCATTGTACAGCTTTACTCCCATTAGGGTAAGGTCATGGAGTCTGAGATATCAACCATGGGCATACTGCATAGGTCTTGGTTCCAATATCAGCTCTGGGCATGCAGAAATATTTATACGTTTCTCTTTCATCTTGTTTCATGCCTATATCCGTCCACTACAACCAGAGACTAAACTATATTAAATTAGCAATGGAAGAAAACAGATGTCTTAGGATTGTTCAACTCCAAACGCCACAAATTACTAGTTAGATAAGATCCTAGGCATCAACCTGGCAAATCAACTGCACTAGTTTGAGAATTGAAGCATCGAGTCAACATGAACAAAGGGTACAAAATTACGTTGGAAACGAAATGCAATTTGACGCTAAAAAATGCTATACATTTTCATGGCAAAAAATTATAAATCTAATCTTTTGAGATGTTTCTCAAAATTTAAAAGCAGATTAAGAAGCCAATATATGAATGTGCAAGTCTTGAACAACCAGAGTTCTAGTTGATAGTTATTATGCCCCTGTTTGATAGGGATTAAAATTAGATTTTTAGTAGATTTTGATAAAAGTTTTTGAAATGTGTGTTGAAAAGTCGTGGAACACACGAAATATGTGGTTAAAATTGATTGTTTGACTTTGACTTAAATTAAAATATGATCAAATCAGTACCAAAAAGGGCCCATATAACATGCATAATAGGCTGACCATATTGAATTTGCAATGTTATAACGCTCCGATTCCATTGAAGAACAGCATATACAAGCTATAATCAGCTTATCTTCCACAAAGAAGCTTGGAATATCATGTCAGAAAAAAAAAAATGAAAACCTAAATTACTTTCTTTTGACTACATTTACTATACATTGTAGAATTACCAAGTAATCTGTCAATAACTAAGTTTCTAAAACCTAACCTCTGTTTCACCAGCAGTAGCTGCAACTGAATGAGCAACTTCCATTTCTCTGTCATTTTCAAGGAATGCAGCACGCTGCAAGATAATTATATTCTGGGATATTTAGAAAGACACCAAAGCAAACCATATGACTCGAAACCAAACACTGATTACAGTAAGGTTCAAGAAAAATTGACCTCTGAAGGATCCATGTTTGCAGTGGACTTGAAGAATCTGTCTAGAAACGATCCTTCAACTGAAACAATAAGCAAATAGGTGTGAATGAAAACCTTGATGTGATAGATTCAGTAGGGACATTAATAATTGCTGAAATTATTTGAAGATACCCAACAGCAATAGTAAGCATGCATGAAAGAAGTAGAATCTGAACTTCAGCTGAAAGAACTCTAACAAATGTAATCCTATCCCTGGCCTGTTTAACTTCTTTGACCTCACTTTTAAACCAAGTTCAGTGATTATTACTGCCCCATATTTATCTTTTTCCCTTTCTGTATATAAAATTTTTATCTCTGTATTGCTAATTCTTTCAACATTTCTCCGGCCCATTTGGTCCTTCAACTCAATAAACCAAAATCCTACCACCAGTCATTATTAATATCAAAAGCTCAACAAACGGAAAATTTTTCCATGCAATCAGCTATTCAAGAGATGGAAACATCTTCAGCATTACATGAACTCCCAACTTAATAAAAATTAATATAAAGCATCAGAATACTTACCAAGTTTTATCTCATTAGTGATATTCCCAACAGCATGAAGGAGCCCAATGGTTCCACAGGCATTGCCTACAGTTTGCTTCATAAAGTAAGCTCCTCCACTAAGCTCCTGTAGGCAGACTATCATGAATATTGAATAGTTGCAATTTAAATTCATAAAATGAAGAGAAGAAGGACCAATTGTATGACCAATGAAATCCGATTCACAGTTATTGAGTCATGTTATGTGAAAAATTACTAGAAAACCATTATGCAAATAATATATTACAAGTTAGCTTTAATATAATTGACATAAAAGTCATCATCTATTATCAATGCACACCAAGGGTGTATTCAATGCATACCAAGGGTACCTAAAAAATTTTGAATAACCCAACGAGATAAAATAATAAATTGAAAGTCAATGAGTTGAGGAAACCAATGTTTCCAAAACTATGAGATATCCCAAATCCTGTAATGTCTGTGATAAACTGGAGAATATTTGGCTTCTTGATTGCTTCATATATTCTCAGAATAGGACATTCATAGCATGCATGAACAGGCAATCATGAGTGTGTCCACGAGCGCACACTTGAAAAAATACATTGTTATAATCAAGTAAATACACTTTGGATAAATTTCACCATTAATATTATCAACTGAATTTATTTTATTCTATTTGACATTCTATCAGTATAGAGCCACATTGGCACAACACAAACAAAATACCGAGAAGTAAAAAAGAAACAGTTGAAGTACAAATCTTGTCATTGTAGACTATAGTCAAAAGAAAGCCAACTTGATGTATGGTATTTTTTGACACTGTAATTTTAAGTGTAATGTTGTTTTTAATTAAAAGTAAACATTGACATGGAAAAAAATTATGAACAAGTTGCAAAAACCATCTATGAAGACCTAAATGTTGCACATATAAATATCATGCGATCATAATACAAAACACTTAATGAACATCAGATCAAGTACATAATCTAGATTTGGCAGATGACTATAAAATAAGTCCAGCAAACTTTTCCATGATAGTCATATGGTCATCTTTGGAAGACTGAAGTGTCTCAAATTAAGGAGCATGCAAACCTCATCCAAAATTTGAAAATACATTTAGGCCTTTTGGCCCCCCCATTCTAAAACTCATTTTTCTTCAAACTCATTTTCAACACATTCTCCCAATTAAATAATTTTGCATGTAAACCGAAAACTTTTCCAATTTTTTAACAACACATTGTCCAACAAAAATCTCCACCAAACAGGGCTTAGTTTACTCGGAGCTAGCTTCCCAAAAACCTTATAGTAAGGCAGGTAATCCTATGCCTCGACTAATCCACAACCACTATTGAAGCTTACTACACCGATGGGATTGTTGATCTTGGATCAACCTCATGGACGATTGCTCGCTTCTTCTAGCACGGAACAGAGACTGACCTAGGTAGTTTCTTCCTGGCCTCTAAAGCTTAGGCTAAGGAATAGAGTATGGGGGAGGACACCACTGGCGGTAAAATTGGAACCCATGTTGAAATGGAATTGAGATTAAGATTTGAGATTGGAAAGGAAGGGAAATGCATTTGGATTCTAATTGTGATGTTTGGAATACAAGTAAAGGATGGAATAGGCTTGTTACTCTTTTTACCCTTAGGTTGCATTTGGTGCACCATATTAGATCATTTAAAGAATCTAGTATAAAACTAAGATGGATAATAGTAGGTGGATGATATCACGGTGGATTAAGGTCTAGTCAAAATTGTCAACCATATATGCTTTCAGACGGGATATAAGATAACTAGTATAAAATAACATTTTTACTAAAAAATCAAATAATATTATCAACATTCATTTGTCGTACCATTTGTCTACTCTATTATTCTACTAATTTTCTATGCGATCTAATAGTGTGCTAACCGCAACCTCAATATTTTCAGAAAAATAAGGGAAACTAGTAATACAATGTCTGACAATTAACAACCGAAAACAGGTCAAACCCGATCATTTACTCTGGATTTTTGTTAACTTAAAATTTCTGGTCAAATCCTCCATATACTAATCTCATCTTGCAAATCCATGCGTATTGTCCTATTATCAACTCCAAAACCCATCAAATCGCATGAGTCCAAGCACAAAATCTTCCTATGAGCATCTAATACAAAAGAAATAGAAATGTATCATTCAAATAGTGAAATTAAATATAATAATAAAGTCAAACTCACCTTTATTTCACTATCTTGTTTTCTCCTCTCCTCTTCGCTCTGTAAAAACAAGAATCTTCATCTCAATATAAATATAAACACAATAAACATTGTAGTGCCGAAAGCAATCACCCTAAGGGATACAAAATTAAGAACCCACTGATATAGAAAGTTGCATTGCATGAGCATGTTGGGTAAGCTTGGAGAAAATTACTTTTTAGTTCCAAACATATTTTTAATAACTCACTCCTTTTCCTATTTTTCAGTTGGCTTGTTTTTTACTTATTTCGAATTTTAATCGATTAAAGAATTATAAATTTTAGAACTAACGTATTTAGTTATAACTCAGCCAAACAACTCTTTCACGAATTACCTCTGATGTTATAGGGTAGAGAAAAAGGACGGCGAGCACTGGCTTTGGAACCATTCCTAGAAGTTCTTCATCCAATCCATAAACATCAAAGCACTCTGCCTCGTCCGGTGGAACGCCGAGTCCCCAGAGAAACTGCAAATGACATTTCCTCAGATTTTTAATAATTTTATATATAAAAAGGAAGATCGATGGGAAATTGGATCAAACCTGGTTCATAACATCGGGATTAGCTTCAAGAGGAAGCCATCTCTTAGCTGATGGGCTTTCCGCCATTTTTTTTCTCTCTTTTTCAAGTGGTGTACCTTTTGGAATAAAAATGAAGAGTTTTTGTTTTGGAAGGACATGGGTTTGGAGAAATTTATAGAGTTAAAGCGAATTGTATTTGATTAGTGAAAGAAATTATTTTATTTTTTTTAAATTGTTCGATATATAAGGATGTAATTGTAGTTTGATTGAAATTTAAGGGTGTTTGATAGGCATTTATATGTAAAAATACATTTTAGAATAGTAAATTGATGTGAAATGTGTGATTGAGAAATAAGGAATTTTTTTTATTTATGTATAATATTATTTTAATAAAGAATATATGGTTGAAAAGAAAAGAGAGAAAAATACATTTTTAAAAAAATGACTACCAAACGGCTGAGGGGAATTGAATTACTTCTTCTACATTTTGACCAATTTAAAGTGAAACCCTGCTGTTTTTCCAGAATTTTCAAATTGGTCATTTGTATTTATTAAACACATCTATATGGGGGTAGTTTTTATATTGGCTAGATTATTGAGCCTATTTTTCACAATAGCCTTTCCTATTAAAAGTACTATTTTACCCTTACTAAAATTATTTGCAAAATCTATCTTATATCTTTAAAGATTTATCAATCAGGACCTATATCTATATTTTTCAATCTTTTGAGTACCTTTAAATATTCTTTATATTTTATTAATTCTTCAAAGATTATAGGTTGACCTTTCTTGCTTATATATCCTTTAAATAATCCTTCTAAAATTTCTTCTTGTATATTTCTATGTTTGGTTATGATATCTTCTACCTTTCTTATTTTTCTACTAATTCCTACAGGATCAAATCCTATATTATTTCTACAATTATAATCTATATTTCTATATATTTCTTCAATTTTTTCTTTTCCAACAGGAAATATATCATCAGATTTTTTATCTAATTTAAGTAAGAACGAAACATCTTTTTCATTTAGAAATAAAATAAGATTATTATCATCTTTAGTAGTGGAAGTAGATGCATGTGAATTGTTCATTAAAATAATTAAAGCATGAGCATGTAAAAACAAGTAAATAACTTACAGTAATCAAGTGGAAATAAACAGGCTTTCCCTCCAGTATGTTTTTATAGATGATTTGCATGTACTTAATCAATCTTCTGAATCAAGTAAAGATTTAAAATGTTTTTGAATTCATTTGGGTCCACAACTACTTCCGCAAAAGGCTTTTCAATTAAGGTTGCATTTCTCATTCTAGAGAACTAGCCGTGTTTCCACAGACGCTATCTCACAGTATCCAGAGTCTCTGTTTTCACCTCTATCCAAACTCTTTTCAGAATCAAGTTCCTACTTGGAACGAAATTTTAAAAGATAACTCACACACAAGGTGCTACAAATTTTTGTTAGAAAACTGCATTTTTCCCCTAAACCATTTATCAAATATGGGTACTTTGACATGGCTAACATCCATTCAAAATCAATGTTTTGAAAATCTTTTAAAATCTCTATCTGTACTGCCGAGGAATCATGAGAAACTTAACGAAATCCTTTTATGTAAGTTTTGTTGAACATAATAAACTTTACTTTGATACTCATAAATTGAAATTGTACATGCTTACAAACTATATTTACATACCTTTGGTACTCACCTTATGAAGTTTAGAACTCCATAAGTGATTACCTTATTCCACGCTTTCCTATCTTCAAGATGTCTAATATTTTTCTGAATACAAGTGGTGTATACAGATTACAAAAGATTTCTCTCAGATATGTTTTAAGAGATAAGCTATTTCGATCTCTCCTCCTTCTTCCTTCATGCCCCTTTTTATAGGAGATTTTGGAATCTTATCTTGGACAGGTGTTTTCCACCTTTCTTTGTTGGGTAGCTAGGCCATCTTTTCTCCACCGAATTTTTCCATTCTCTTCTTGCTAGTGGACCTCTCCTTTTGAAATTAGATGCCTTATCTTTTGAGTTTGTCTGCCACTTGTAACAATTGGTGGGTGAGTAGTCACAATAATGGAGACTTTTTCTTGCATTATTTCCTGCCTTCTAGTAGCCACAGTTTTTCTTTAATAAATTTCTTTATTAAAGTAGTGATAAAGGACTACTTTAGTCACCATCACTTTTCCATTTTTGAATCAAAGAATTCTGCAGGGAATTCTTCATCATTAAGAGATGCTTGACTCATATCTTCAATTACACAGTATTCACAATGGTGATCACTGTAATTCCAAAGTAATTTGCATAATTCTTTAGCCATATCTTCTGATCCATGCACTTGGTTGGATATAATTGCAGATAATAAATGATCGAGATAACAAATATCTTCTTCTTTGGTATCCATCCTTGCATTGGAATAGATAATATGATCTTCAGATGGATAAACCCATATTTTTTCTTTCTCAGTAATAATCTGAGTTACATGTTCAAATATCTCTTTATACCCTTTTGCTCGTCTGGAGGGCATCATATTTAAAATATCTTGATATCCATTTTTAACAACCTTTTGATTGGTTGGTAAAAAATGTTGATTTGTGATTCCCATTTTGATCACATGGAACGATGGATGCATATGTTCAAGAATAGGATCTCACTCTATGGTTGCTGAATGGAATCTGATATATATATTTGTTGTTTTAACAACTTCAGTATATCTTTTAATAGCTTTCCTGATGTTGGCTGGAAGTTGAGCTATTTCTTTGAGATCTTTACTAGGATATATACAAAGTATATTTCCTATTTCAAAACAATTTCGAACCCAGTTGGCTGGTGCTCCTGAATAAAAATTTATCTTATTGTATTTTGAATAGTGGAGAGTCTTCATCCACTTTCCAATCTCCAAATACCAATCTGATAAAATATTAAAAATAACAATAAAGAATGTTACTTCTTCATGGTTATCTTTTCTGGGAAATTTTGCTTCATGGCATATCTTGACAATATCTTTTGGATCTATCCTTTCAACAGAAAGTTTAGATTAAGTTTGGCTCTGTGAAGAGCTGCCTTCTCTTTTGATATCTTGAATATCTTTATTACTAGTAATAGGTTTGAGTATTCCCTGTAAAGGGGTTCCTATTACCTTCTTTTCTTTCCCTTTATCCTCGGGGAGAGCGCTAGTATTCACAAGTCCCTGGGAAGGAATACTAGTCTTGGTACAAGTAACGTCTGCCTCAAGGGCTATATTTTTGCCTCGAAGGCTATCTTGGATATTTTGAATTTGGGTTTCCAAATAGGAAACTTTTATCTCAAGTATTTGGACTTTCGTCCTTAGTTGTTCTAGCTACATTCATGCTAAGATAATTAGGAAGAAAGTTAGCTTTTTCTTTAATATATTCAATATCAAATTTGAAATATGAGAACCAAATTTGTATTCTAATAATATATCTATTAGTAATAGATGGATCAACATTATTTTTCAAAAATGCTTTGACTTGAGTATTGTCAATTCTAATCAAGAACTTCTTTGGTAATAAATAATTTTCATATTTTTGAACTCCTCTTTTTACAGCAATGAGTTCTTTTCTGTTCGTCTCATATCTTGTTTCAACTTCTTTGAATGTTCCTGACGTATAACTTGCAAGTATTTCAGGGCAAGAACAGTCTTTTTCACGTTTATATTCTTTATGATCATTTTTAACCTTTAACACTGCTCCCCAATAATAATCTGAAGCATCAATGTCTAGGATAAAGAAATCTCCTTCTTGTGGAATTACAAGTTTGGACAATACTTTTAACTCTTCTTTAACTTTCCTTATATTTTCAGAATCTTGTTTTTCCCAAGACCACATTATATTTTTTCTTAACTTTGGAAAAAAATAATTTTTTAATTTGGCACAATTTTCAATGAATCCTTTCGCATAATTTAATATACCAAGGAAGTTTTGTAATTGTTTTTTATTTTTGATTTCTTCAGGAAATTCTTGAAATTTTTCTCCAATATGGGATTGCAACTGCAATTCTCCTTCTTTTATAAATAATCCTAAAAATTCTATTTCTGTTCTAGCGATCTCAGCTTTCTTTTGAGAAAGTGTAATACCATGTTTTTTCATAATATAACAGAATTTCTCAAGATGTTCAATATGTTCATCAATGTTATTTGAATGAATTAATAAATCATCAACATATGCAATACAGAAATAAGTAATTGGTTTTATTACCTCATCCATTCTTCTTTGGAATATCTGTGGTGCATTTTTCAACCCAAACGGCATTACATTCCATTTGTATTGTCCTAAAGGATTGGGGGTACTAAATGCAGTTAGTGGTTTACTTTCTTCTGTAAGCATAATTTGCCAAAACCCTGACTTACAATCAAATTTTGAAAATATCTTTTTATTTTGTACTTGCTTACTAAGGGTGTCCTTATTTGGTAAATAATATCCATCAAACTTAGTAACTTCATTTAACTTTTTGTAGTTCATTACCATTCTGGCTTTTCCTCTTTTTACCTCACTATGTTTTCTAACCATAAATGCTGAGCTGCTATGTGGGCTTTTACTAGGCCTAATCAGTTTGGCTTCTAGCAATTCTTTTATCTGATTTTTAAATTCTTTTTGATCATCAACACTATATTTCATAGGTTTGACTCTTACTATAGTGTCTGGATTGATTAATTCTATCTTTGCCTTTACTTTGTCTGTATTCCATTTTTCTAATGGATTTTCAGAATATATTTTAGAAATTTCTTTTTTCAATTTTTCTAATCTATTTTCTGTTGTCATTTTTAAGACTGTAACTGGTTTAAATTTTTCTGTACTCCAACATCCACCACGCTGGGTTGAGGAACTCTGATGGTTTATATCCCTATATGCAATTGTAACAGCTTTATTTATTTTTGGGGTAAATATTTTATGTGCACAAGGTGTTGTGAACATATACTTATCAATATATTGTGTAAATGGTGTATATTTTAATAGGAAATTTTGTCCTAATAAAATATCACATCCAATTGTGGTTGGCATGTATATTGTATCAACAAATACTTCTCTAAAGGAAATTAGAAAAGGTACTTGCGTAGCATATTTGCTATATATTACCTTATTTCCACCTGCTGTTGTAACAGTGACTATTTTCTTTGAATTGTATTTCCAGTATTCAGATGGTAGTACATTTGGTAAGTATAAGCTTATTGTACTTCCTATATCTAAATAAGCATGAAATTTAATTCTACAATAGCTTTTTATATTGAGTGTAATTTCAATATATGGACTCATGGGATTGGTGCTTATTACTCTTTCCATGATAACAATGATTTCATATTTTCATCTATTCTTGGTATGATGATTGGGTTATCATCAACTGTTATTTTTAAATATCCTTGACAAATTTTATAAGGACTAAATTTCTCAAGAAAGTTCATTCCTAGTAGAATAGGTGAACGATCTACTTCGTATAACTCATCTTTATATAAAATTATTTCTTCAATATATTCTTTCTGATCCTCTCCTACAAGTATAAGAGGGAATTTAACATATTTTCTTATTTCAAGATTATTTCCCAAATAATCTTTAAATATATATGGTTCTGGTATTTCAAAGTTTATTAAATGACTAACAAATTTAGCATTTACATGACTTTTATCTGCTCCAGTATCTATGAGGACAAGAAAATTCTTCTTAAACCCTTCTTGGTTTACATATCTTGTCTTAATGTAATATTGTGAACTTGATGGTTCAGCAATGCTTAAATTCTTAAGTCTGCTTATCTTAGAGTCTTGTCTAGAGGGAAATCTTGCAATAAGATTGTCTCCTTCTAAGCTCACACTATTTCTTCTTATTAATTTTCCTTCAGAATTAATTTCTTTTGCTTGTTTATGAAAATCAAGCATTATTTGTTCTGGTATCGTTACTTCATGTTCTTGGTATTTTCTAGGAGGTATATATTGTGCTAATTCCTCAAAATCTTTATGTATGATAATGTTATCAGTTATCTTTCTTAGATTATTATGATGGATAGTACTAAAAGCAAAAATTGATTTTATGCTTATACTAATAGCCTTACTTGTTCGTAACATTTTCAAGTTTCCAATTCTATAATATAGATTGAAACTTTAGTCAATATTTTCATCATTTAAAGATATTGCATAATTTGATTTTACTGTAAATATTATCTTTTGATAGACTAAGTTTCCTACAACTGTTCCTAATAGAGCATCTATAGGATCTTGTAAGATTCTATTATCCATACAATAGATTTCTATTGGTATATTCATACCTTCTCTAAAGAATCCTTTTACCATTATTTGGACTCCTCCTATTTCAATACATTTTAATTTGTTTCTTACGTTTTCTGGGATTTTGGATAGCTTTTGTTTTACCCATTCTTTTGTTATTATATGAATTCTTGCTTTTCCTATAGTGTCTTCTATATTGATAGACATTTCTTTATAGTTCATATTTACAATTGTTTTATTTACTCTTGGTAAAATTTCTAAGAATCCTTGATGGAATACATCTTTTTCCTGTAGATCTAATATTTTTTTAGTAATTCCTGCGTATCTTTTAATATCAAAGGTAATCTCTTGATTAATACCTTCTATAGAATCTTCAACTTCTTCAGTTGTTTCAATTTCTATTTCTGATTGTTGTATCTCCTGATTCATATATACTATTTTCTCATAATTTTCTTCTAATGAGGATGTATATAATTCATAAATGCTACTACATTCACTACTAAATTCTACTTTTATATTCTGACTTGAAGATGGATTGGTATTCATCTTTATATTTTCCCTTTTTTCAGTTAATTCTTTTAACTGTTTTTTATATTTTTCATACTCTTCACCTATAGATTTTAAGAATTTTTGTTCTATTTCTTCTACATCTGTAATCATATATTGATTTTCTTCATTTTTTTTCCTTTATTATTTTCTTTTTGTGTTATCCTAAAATCTTGAGGTGGATTAATTATAATTATATCTTTTCCTTTTAGACTTTTATCTAAAAGAGCATTTCCTACTTGTAGATTATGTTCTAGATTTTCTAATCTTTTATGTATATCTCCAAAATTTTCATTTGTGGTGTTTTTAGGTAAATAGGGGTAACTAGGTCTTTTATGTTTTTCAACCTTTTTCAAAAATTCTTTAATTATATTTTCTTCATCTACTATATTCATCATAATTTTTGGTTCGTAATCTGGCTCTGATACCATTTTGTTGGAGTGTGCAGTGGAGGGGTTAATATTTTTTAGCCAATTAAAATCTTTATAAGTTTCTAAAATGTCACCATAAAATTTATAAAATTCACTATTTTTTATTAAAACTTTTTCTTCAATAATTATATTTAATTCTTTAATCCTTCTTCTTAGGTTAAGAATAAGTTTATATATATCATTTTCTGTTTTGATTATATTATTATCTATAGAAACATTTTTATTTTTTAATTTTGGATCTAATTATTCTATAAAGAATCCTTTCAGACCTTCTTCTAAATATTTTAATTCGTTTTCTGTTGCATTTCTTAGGTCAATAAAATTTTCTATAATATTTGGGTTTAAATTAATTAAAGATTTTTGGTCTATATTTTCTTGAGGACCTATTTGGAGGTTTTTATACATTGTAGTGACTTTGGTTGCAATTTCTCTATAAGGGGTATTTTTGGAAAGATTATTGTTTGAAGACTATTTTTCAAATATTTTCATTTCTTAGTCTAATCTTACAAATTGTCATTATTTTTAGGCTACTGGAAGGTATTTCCTCCATCTATATGTCCTCATAGTTCATATTCTCTTTTTACCCTTTAGTTTGAATTATCAATGAATGGATATTTAACCAACAGAAAGTGAGGAAATGGCATTTCTTCATATTGCAAATGAATGTGTCAAATTCATTTCAGATGTTTTCGAATGGTTGGCATGAGTAGCTTATTACAGACGAATATTCCCTCCAAGATTTGAATTTTAAATTGAAAATTTCCTAATAAAATGCTAAATAGTATCATCAAAAAAGGGGTTCAAAATGAAAAGGATTGTTATACCGTTCTGGTTGATCTTTTGATTCATGACATTTGGACATCTATTTGTTCAACTTTTGATTTGCATCCAAAATTTATGCGAATTTTTTTGAAAATGAGCTTTACGTTGACTTCAAATAGCATTCCGTTCTTCCTTGTTTGGATTGCATGCAATAGTGTACAAAGAAAAATTACGAATTTGTAAACAATGGGTCATTCATTTAAAGCATTCAAACGTCATACAAATCAAGGTAAAATAAAAAAGAAGATGAAAAAAAATCCTACAGTAACATCATTTTCATTAGTGAGCACAACTACTTGAGATTAAAAGGTTTAATTTTTTGAAAACAAATTGATGGTTTAAAATTATTTCTGGATGGAATCATAATTGAGTCGCTCAACTTCAATGCTACTAAACTTGCGATTAAATCCTACGTCAACATCAACATTAAAAAATGACGTCAAACTAGCCTATTTTATTATTCAAAATATAGTTTTGCTACTTCAACATCTAGGGTGACATTCTGGGTGACCGAATTGATTTGGCAATTCTGTGTTGGTTATCAATTCGTTTTTATCCAACAGCCAATTGTGATTTGCTATTTAGTAATTCTGTTACCCAGGAAGTCATCTTGAGTTTTACTATAGCAAAACTTTCCAAAATAAATGTCACTTAGGCCCCGTTTGTTTCCCATTTTTGGAATAATGAAAATGAAAAATATAACTGTTACGGACCCCACAAAAGAGATAAAAATTCAAATTTGGTGGTTAATGTGATGGATAAAGATCATACTTTTCATTTTAATGAGAACAAATGGGGGCTTAATAAAGTTGTGACTACAAAATTTTAATGAAGCCATTAACATTAAAAGTCTGATTGTAATAACTTAAAGTTGAGCAACTCAATTGCAATTTAACTAAAGTTGAATGATGAGAAATGAAATCGCCAAATCGGAGCTTGCAATCCAAGCCCAAATCAGAGATATTCTCACAGGGCCATCAAGTGCAAGATGGACCCGGATCGACCCGACCCGACTGTTAGATACAATGAACCTTCTCCCACTCGACCCCCGTCCACTGGACTGCGGTTTTACGGATTAGGTTTTGCTTCTCCCCATTCGCTCTGCCGCATTTACTCACTCTCTCTCTCTCTCTCTCAAAATATTTTCTTACAGGAAAACTTCCTCTCTACGATCTCTTTTTCATGGATTCCATTGACTAGAGATTTTTCTTGGTTCCTCATTGTTTTTTCACCGAGCTGAGCTGTATCTGTTTATCTATCTGATTAATTATCGAGAAATTGAGAAATGGCTACCATAAACCCATTTGATCTTTTGGGCGATGATGACACGGAGGATCCAAGTCTGCTCATTTCTGTTCAGCAGCAGAAAGCACCGGCTTCAGCTCCAGTAAAGAAGGCTTTAGCTCAGGTTCAGCAGGCGGCTAAGCCTGCTGCTAGGCTTCCCGCTAAGCCTCTACCACCTTCTCAGGCTGGTAAGGAATTATTAATACCCTTGTCCTTTTCAGCTTCATTTATTTTGTTTGTGCTTCAAGATTAATGGGGTTAAAGTTTAAAAATTTTATATTGGTTTTATTGGTTTTGATGGATGCTGGTGTGTTTAACTCAATTTATTTAATGGACTTTAAAATGATGTTTGTTTGAATCTTCCGTTATTTCCCATTCATTTATGTATGCATATTGTGAATTTACTATTCTATGTTTCCTTGCTGAAGACACTAAAAATGAAAGAAAGGTGGAACTCTCCGTCACTCTTATAAAAATGTATTTATGCATTATGTCTTCAAAGATTCTGGAAAAAGGAGTAGAATTGATCGAACACACTAAACTCTAAATGGTTTGAAATTTGTTAAACGATCTTTTGCATTTCCTGAAATGTGGACACTCATTATAATAATTTACTGGATTTTACTTCTCTTATCTTCAATAGGAGTACAATCTATTTGCCCAAATTTAGTATTCCAGTTGTACTATTCTGTTCTACGATTAGATGTATGGATAATGCTTTCTATTGATGGAGTACGAAGTTATTGTAATTGTCAGTGTCCATTATCCCATTTTACAATTACTCGTTTTTAATAATTTATTTCACAAAGGCTTTATAATATGTTCTTGGATCCTGTCCTGTGTCCAACTGGAGAAATCCTGGTGTTTATTGGTTTTCTACTTTAACACTCATTGTGTTTTTCTCCATCTTGAGCAGTGAGGGAGGCAAAGAATGAAGGTGGTCAGCGTGGAAGAGGTCGTGGTGCGGGACGTGGGGGTGGTCGTGGCCGTGGATATAATCGAGATTCTGCTGACAATGATAATACATTTGGAAACAACAATGGATTACTTGGAGGGTATAGGGTTTCAGAAGATGGAGATGCTGGAAATCCATCTGAACAGCGACCTTATGGTGGATCTCGTGGAGGTGGGGGTTTCCGTGGTGGTCGCCGTGGTGGTTTCAGTAATGGGGAGACTCCTGATAGTGAACGCCCTCGAAGGGCATTTGATCGACGCAGTGGGACTGGGCGAGGGTGAGAGATTTAGAGAGTTGTTACTACTTGGTGTCATTTTTTCTTTTGTTGTATTTTTTGAATAAAGTTTTTGTTATTTTACAATTTAGGTTGGGTTATTTAGTTTATTTCAATATTTCTTGTTGTCTTGGCATATTATTATTCACAATCTCTGTTGCAGAAATGAGTTTAAACGTGAGGGATCTGGTCGTGGAAATTGGGGTGCACCAACTGATGAGATTGCCCCGTAAGTACTTGAATCTTGAAGTTCAGCTGCTGTTATTATAGTTGATGGGCTTTATATAATATTAATACCATTCTTAAATAAATATTTTATATTGTTACTTAATGCAGGGAAACTGAAGAACCTGTTAACGAAGGAGAGAAGAACGCCGATGCTGAGAAGGAACCAGTGCAAGATGATGTCAGTGATGCTAACAAGGATTCTTCTGCAAATGAACAAGAAGAGAAGGAGCCTGAGGAAAAGGTGACATATTTCCTGATTTTATGCTTCAGGATGGAAGACACTTATCACTGGTTTCCTCAATTGCACTCATTCAGTGACATTAAGAGATTGACTTCTATCAATTACCGACGACTTAATATCAACTAAATAGGCTCTCTTCTTTGTTTTCTTCGTCCATAGCTGTCATCACATTACTTTTGTTTGTGGACTTTCAGTTGCAGACTGTCTTTTGCGTTATATGGTAGACTCTTTTTGGTATACATTAGATTGTGCCTAGACTAATTTCCATGGGATGATTTGCCAACGATCCATGTGCATCAATTTTTTTCATTCTTTTTTCTCTGTTGTGATGCATCTAAGTTTTATTGTGAAATGGAGTTCATCAGTATGAACTGAAACATATTACCAATACCATTGCAGACTGAAAAGGATTTGCTATTCTGATAATTCGATGTTTCAAAAGTAACAGAAATTTCTAATCACTGCACTGACAATGACATCAATCAATTTTAATACTGCAAGAGCTCAATATGAAACTCCCAATTGCCGCCCAGGGAGATGACAACGAAAGCAAGACAAAAAACAAGCAGGAATATTATATGTTTTGGGTGTCCAAAGATATGATTAATCAAGTGAAGGAATATAACTTCTATTTTGGTTCTGGAAAGAGAAAATTTGCACTTGATATTCATTTCTTCAATTTTCAGCCATTCCTTTTCTCTGTGGGGTCCAAAATGGCGAAACTTGAAAAGACAAATATCATGTTTTTTGATGATCACATGACACAAGGGAAAAACTCACTATACCTCCACTTTATTAAGAACATATTTATTTTTTTCCACATGAGTCTTCTCTAATTTGTATTTAAAGGATCAAATGATTATGATATGCTAACTTATTGATGTTTTAAATATTGATAATATTTATGATCTGCCACCACAACAGGAGATGACTCTGGAGGAGTATGAGAAAGTACTGGGAGAGAAGAGAAAGGGACTGCCTGCTCCTAAATCGGAGGAAAGGAAGGTCAATTTGGACAAGGAACTTGAATCCATGCAACTTCTGTCCAACAAGAAGAACGATGATGAAGTCTTTATCAAATTGGTGAGCCTATTGTTTTATCAATGCTAAATTTAGTTGGATCATGTAGAGTTAAGTGTATTGGTTTTATTGAAAATTTTGGCAAACTGGACAGGGTTCTGATAAAGATAAACGCAAGGAGGCAGCTGAGAAAGCCAAAAAGGTACGTTCATGTTTTGCTTTACCTGGTTGCACTTCATATTATGTTCAATTTGACTCAAATTTGCTGCGTACTCTGGGGTTATTTTTTGAAGGAATGGTCATTGACATGCTTCAAATACCCCCATAGAAAAAAATTCTATGGAGACACACATACATGTAGGTAGCCTGATACTGTCTTGCAAACACTGAGCATTGATATTGGCTTCAGTGATTTATTGGAGACTGTTATACTTGTTCTTCTTTATATTTCATATCATTACAAGCCTTATAGGGAGATTGAACTATATTGATGTTTGAGAATCTAAGATTATTCTAGTCGGGATTCTTGTTAGGAGTTGTTCTTTGAATCAATAATGTGAGACTTGTCATGAACAGACTTGTCATCTTTGGGCTCTGTTGAATTTGGAGTAATAAACGTCAAAATTTGGATAGTGGAGTGTTTAAATTATGTTGGAGAATCGGAAATTATTCTAGTTGGACTTGTTCGTTGAATCAATAGTGCAGGACTTTTCATGAGCAGAATGGTCTCATCCCACAGCTTTGTTGAATTTGGAGTAAAAATTTAAAATTTGGATGGTGAAGTGTTTAAATTGTTTTCGCAAACAAAATCTGTCTAATATTTAATTTCAAGTTATCGCTAGCCATGTTTATATTTTTCCAAATTTATTGTTGAGAAATAAAGACAGAATAATTGGAGTTACATGTTATGGCATCATAGGGATTTGTTGAAATTAGAAGAAAAATTCAAGGTTTGGGTGATCAATTACTAAATTTTTTGTGCAAAATAAAATTTCCCATCCACAGTTCAACAGTTGGCTTTTAATTTATAAAGAAAGAAAAATATTATGCTTAGACTTGATTTTTGACCATATTACTGACCATAGAACTTCAATGTTAAGTTATTGATGCGCCTTTTGGTTTTATATGGACGAAAACTTATGCTCGTTAGTTATTTATGGTGTGTATTTTTATATGATGGGACCGTTCTTCCTATCAATGAATTTGACAAATAATCGTGCCTGTAGCTTAAGTATTAATGTAACGGTCTAGTTCTATTAAACTAGATCTACATCTAATTTAGCTCCTATTTGACAACCATTATTTGAAAACTCTTTTTCCTATGTACTCATTTTCAATTACACATTCACACAATAATATATTCTGCATATAAACTCAAAACTTTTTCTTACTTTTTAACCACACATTCTCTTAATAATCACTATTCAAAACATTTTTTTTTTGAGAAAAAATGGCTGTGATTCAGGGCCTTATTTGTCAAATGCGTTGGTAGGAGAGACGGTCTCCTTAACTAATTAAAAATCTTTGGCCTCTTGTGGACAGCTGTTACAACCTTTAACCCAATGCAACTCTAACGCTTTAACAAATTGGTTTTTGTTCTTGTGCAGGCCGTAAGTATAAATGAGTTTCTTAAGCTGGCTGAGGGGGAGAACTACCAATCCAGTGGCCGTGGCCGAGGCAGGGGACGTGGTAGAGGAGGATATGGTGGAAGCAATAGGAACAACATGCAAGCCCCAGCTATTGAAGATGTTGGGCAGTTCCCTTCCTTGGGTGGAAAGTAAGGGCTTGGAACCTGCTAAAATTTCCCATCCACAGTTCAACAGTTGGCTTTTAATTTATAAAGAAAGAAAAATATTATGCTTAGACTTGATTTTTGACCATATTACTGACCATAGAACTTCAATGTTAAGTTATTGATGCGCCTTTTGGTTTTATATGGACGAAAACTTATGCTCGTTAGTTATTTATGGCGTGTATTTTTATATGATGGGACCGTTCTTCCTATCAATGAATTTGACAAATAATCGTGCCTGTAGCTTAAGTATTAATGTAACGGTCTAGTTCTATTAAACTAGATCTACATCTAATTTAGCTCCTATTTGACAACCATTATTTGAAAACTCTTTTTCCTACGTACTCATTTTCAATTACACATTCACACAATAATATATTCTGCATATAAACTCAAAACTTTTTCTTACTTTTTAACTACACATTCTCTTAATAATCACTATTCAAAACATATTTTTTTGAGAAAAAATGGCTGTGATTCAGGGGCTTATTTGTCAAATGTGTTGGTAGGAGAGACGGTCTCCTTAACTAATTAAAAATCTTTGGCCTCTTGTGGACAGCTGTTACAACCTTTAACCCAATGCAACTCTAACGCTTTAACAAATTGGTTTTTGTTCTTGTGCAGGCCGTAAGTATAAATGAGTTTCTTAAGCTGGCTGAGGGGGAGAACTACCAATCCAGCGGCCGTGGCCGAGGCAGGGGACGTGGTAGAGGAGGATATGGTGGAAGCAATAGGAACAACATGCAAGCCCCAGCTATTGAAGATGTTGGGCAGTTCCCTTCCTTGGGTGGAAAGTAAGGGCTTGGAACCTGCTTTCCTGAATCTTGCCCTTTGACAGGTTGTATTATCTTTTTGGGTCATGGGTCGCAGAAAATATCCTCTAGAACCGTCATTCAGTGAAATTGTCCGGAAAACCTTAGTCATTTCAGTGTATATTTAGATCGGTTTCAAGGGTTTTTTACAATTGTTCTTCATGATTTTGACATGCATGAATGCTCTTTCTGTCGTAGCATTAGAGAGTTTTTTTCCCCCCCTTCTAATCTTTGATTGAGTTCATGGGTCAGTTTTTTGATTTGGAGTTGGAATTGAGACAGTTTTGTTCGATTCTAGATATTGGTTTTGCTGCAAGGTTTTGTGCATGCCAGTTTTCAAATGTCAAGAGCATGTTTGGATATGCTTAAAAGCAATAAATGAATGGCAATTCCAGGCCAAAATTCTGAAGCCTGATCCGATAATTTTAAACGAATGCAATAAAGGAATTACTTTTGCATCAAGATAAGGACATTCTTGAAAGTGCGCAAAGGAAAATTGACATTTTACTAGTGTTAGTTATTTTCAATTTTGGGGAATTATAAAAAATGTCACTTTTAAAAAATGTACAAAAAGTTTTCATGTGCACCTAATTTTATGGAAAAAGCTACAAGTACAGACCCATTTGACAGATAACTTATAGGAATTTGAAAATTACTGACATGACAGGGGACAAAAGACAACTAGACTGATATTAAGGGAAGGAAAAGAAAAAAAGAAGAAAACTAATCAAGAAAGCGGGATGCCAAAAATTTGAGAAAGAGGGAAGCAAGATAACCCGCCACCAAAATCTCCATATTTCCACATCTCCAAGAATAGAGAAACCCACCACCAAATCTCCATATCTTTGGCCACACAACCCGCAACATATATACTCCACATCTCTTGTCGAGTAAGAAGTGCGAAACCCCAACTATTAAGCGTGTTCGCTGAATAGTTGGGGTCTCCATAGACGGATTCTCCACCATCGCCGACCAAGCGAGAGTCCATTTCACCCAGTGAAATGTTAGCCTTTTAAGCTTTCAAAGTTGGGCATTGTAGCAAGTTCTAGGATTTTAGCTATTTGGTCCATTTACAAGTTTTATTCTTTTTGCTAAAAGTAGAACAACACCCAGAACTTTAGGCCGAACGTGTAATAGGATTTGGCTATGAAACCATCAATTGTCAAAGAACTCACTGACTTTAAAAAGAAAAGGCATGGAAGTGAAATAAGAAGAATATATGCTATATCTTGCAATTTATTTTTCAAGCATTCAGAAATCAAATTAGACCGACCAAAACCGATTAGTATTGATATGGTCCGGTTCCCCCATTTTTTTCCCTTTCTTTTTCCCCTCCTAGGCAACCTCCATTTTTACAATTTCCAACTTGAAGTCAGTTCAATTCTTGATATATTTGGACGGAATCATCCACTGTCCACTTCTAGTCTTTCTTATATGTCTTTCTTAGCATGCATGTGTGTATATATTTTTTGGAAACTCACTTGCACTATACATGCTGCAAATAAATTTGATCCTAAAATTATATTCAGGTCATTGACTTTGGTCTGCAAATGTGAATTATATTGTTTATATCAGTAATATATGCGATTTTTTGTAAATATAGGTGATGTATACGGAATTCTGCTTGTATTAATTCTGCAATTACAAATTCTAAATTGAGATTTCACTTCAACAATTTTTGAAATATGATCTGAATCGACACTTTTAACAATTACGAAACAACTTATTCAAATTGCAAGAGATTTCACTTCGTCAGATTTCCAGAAATCTGCTTCATACTTATACTACCTTACTACTATTGAAGGTGGAGGTTGGAGCGCCAGTCGATTTCGCTGTCGGAGGGTTGGTGCGACGGTCGGTTTCACTGTAGGAGGTTGAAGCGCCAGCCGTTGGACGAAGCGAGGGCAAAATGGCTAGAGTGGGGGAAGATTTCAATTCAGTCTCATTATTTTTACCTTTTTTTGTTTCCTTATCATTTTTTTTTAAGGGAGTGCGCCACATCAGCATTTTTCAAATTTCTGTATCAATTCGGTAGTTTTTTCCTATACCTATAGCAGGACCATAATTTTATTAAAAATGTCACTTTTTTTGTAAGAAATATCCAATTTACTCTTCATGTCCCCTTTTTAGGAGCATTTAATGCTAGCTTTTAAATTCAATTAATGTTGTGATTTGATTAGTTAAATTTTATATATTATAATCATGGATATATTAAATTTATATATTATAATCATTGGATATATATATATATATATATATATATATATATATATATATATATTGTATAATATGAATTTACTTTAAAAAAAAAAAAGATAAAAGAAGTAAAAAATCATATTTTAACATCAAACAAATACCTTCTTCAACAAATCCTTATTACATCCATCTTCTTCATTCCTTGATCTAGAAGATGTTACTATTTGATTCATCATTCATTTTGAGATGTTAGTTATTACGAATTATTTATATTTTTATCGAACAACTTACCTTTTTTAAAATATTAAAAACAACATGATCATCAAAGTGAAGAATGTTTTTGAAACTCTTATTAATTATGATACTCTTGATTTTTGAAATATTTTTGAAGGGAAAAGATATAAAAAAAAATCCCGAAAAGATTTAGGCAAATGTTAAATATTACATTCCATATTTAATGAAGCATTCGGTCACTTATTTTTGGAAAGAAATTGTGATGATATAATTGTTGTAGTTGAGAATTAATTATAACCATTAATGCTTCCAACAAGGTACCAAACATGTCTGAAACTTCTCGACATTTTCGACAGTTGAATTGTCAAACTCGACATTTAGAAACGTCGAGATAAATAATTTAACTGTTTGGATTCAACCATTCATTTCACATTTTGTCATTGAATGGATTTAAATAATCAAAACTATCACTTTTGTGCTATTAAATGTAGACACATTAATTGTATAGAGTTTTTACCGTTGCAATATCAACTTTTCAAGTATTAATAATCATTTGAGATTCATCTTGCGCGTGGACGAAAGTTTGTTTATGTGGATGATGAATGGAAGTAGAGAGTGGACAAAACCACTTTCATTTTAGTTCCAACAAGTATTACCTATGCACTCGTTATGGTAGAGTTGACCATAACCGGACTACGTGTTCCAAATCCATTCTAATACAACTAATGTAAATAGGCTTGATGTCTAAAAGTAGTTGAAGTTGTATTTTGAATATTCTCCCGATACCGTTGTACATTCTAAAATTATATTATCATTTTTTTATTTGTTTGCAGATATTAGTCGTGTTTAAGTTCACAAGCAAAATAATTATATAGACAAAAATGCATATCATTCGACAGAAGGATTCTATCATTCTCGACAGATGGTTGCGAAGTAGAAAATTTGATTACCAAAAAGTGTATAAGGGACATGCTGCTCTCAAACACATTCTCAATTTGCATTATTATTAGCATCTTATTATCATTTGCAAACATTGCATAACATCCTAACAATTAAACTATCGGCCCCGACAAGAGGTTTCTGTCATTCTCGACAGTTGGTTGCGAGCAGAAAATGTAACTACAAATAAGATGCATAAGGATAAGTTGTTGCATAACATTTGGTAAAGACGTTACTATATTTATCCCTGACAAAATTATAATACATAACTTAACAAATTTTCTCGTGCTAATTGAACAATCCAATGAGAGTGAGAAATGAGAAATGATAAAATGTGTCACCACATGTGGATGCAACCACTAAATCATGTTTATAACCACATTCTTGGAGGTAAGCAAAATGAGGTTATTGATTACACTAATCAATTCTAATGTAGTATTGACAAATTCGGTCACACTATTTCTTTATTCTTTTTCTCCTCTCATTGGTGTATGGAGTTCTAGTAGATGCTGTGGGAAATCGAATGTGTGTCGATCATTGCTCTTTGTGTTAACAACATCGTTAATTTCGATGGGTATGGTGGCCGCCTCCGTCACGCTACAAGTTGAGGAACTTTCTAGTTGTTCGAGCATGACACATTGAGCTCTATGGGTCCTTCATCTATTTGAAAACAACATTTGCAATTTCTAGTTTGCAAATTACAGAGTGAGGTGAGAGCATTTAAAATTTTGAATTCCTTCTAATTAACACACATACCATTCGCCTCTTAGTTCTCACAAGGCAATAGACCCTCATGATTATCGAAGCACGTGTTGATGTATCCT